TTAAAAACTCAAAATCTCAAACTAAAATCATATTAAATGGAATCTTTATTAATAATATAGAAAAATTATATTAATAAATTATCTACATATTATTATTCTAATTTTCTAAAAAGTAAATTTAACTACATCGCTTATTATGTTACTAATTAATTTCCAATCAAATGAATCAATGAGCTTTTTATTGATTCAATTATTTTATAGTGATTGGTCAACGATCTAAATAATTCAGTAGTAATTTTTTTTATTAGAAATAAAAGATTATAAATTCGAGTTAAATGACATGCGAGTGAGATATAATAAGAAATAAGAGAAAGTTATCTTCTGTTGTGCAACCAACATTAAAACAAAAATTATTTTACAGTGGCTGAGATAGGAAGGTGGGATTCTTCCTACTCTTGATGAAGAAGAAATCTGCATGATCCTCGTTGAAGAGCCTTATTCAACCTTTCTTGCCAAACTCAGAGAGACCTGAGTAGAGACATAAGTCTAACTCAACAGGCTGCATAACCATTAACTTCCTCTGCTTTTTTGGTTTTTTCAAACATATTTTTGACCAAGACCCAAAACTTAGTCTACCAACCCAAGAGTCTAAAGTAAAAGGCAGCCAGGGAGCAGTGTTTCATACGTTGCCCTCCATTAGTTGATAATAACACATGTTGTTTCCTGGAAGCATCACTCCTTTGCTCAATTCTTTCAATTCAGGGAATAGTCAAAGAGTATGCATGCTTACTTTGACCATAGAATTGTCACTATATATATACCCATTCAATTACCTTCTTCCTCCTTTTCATAATACGAAAGCACTCAAAGCAAAAGAGAGCCATGAGCACCACCAGTCCCACTACAACTACTCCCTCTGCTGAATGGATGCAGTGCTATGAACAGAGTGCTGCTTTTGAAGAGGTGGGTGCAGCTTCATTTTCGGATGCCACCATGGTCACCACAAATCTCACCTCCGATGGCAACCTCAGCCCTGGCAGTTCATCCCCGGTGAAGTCGACAAGGAGGAGGTCCAGGGCTTCTAAGAAGGCACCCACCACCCTCCTCAATGCCAACGCTAGCAATTTCCGGGCCCTGGTGCAACAGTTCACTGGTTGTCCTAGCAGAGACCTGTCACGGAGAGGCGCAATTAACTTGAATTTTGCCCAAGGGAATGACGCAAGTGCTCAAAGTCAAAGTAATGTTTCAGCTTCCACCATGGCAACGTTTGGTACTAACTATTACTTTCAACAGCCTGGACAACCACAGCCATGGCCACCGCAACAGCAACATCATATGTTTCAGAATCAACAAAATGATGTCCATATTGATGATGTTTCTACTCAAGGGTTTCGGGCAGAGCCATATCCCAATGAACACAAGAATGATGGTTACTTCTTCTAGTAGGTAGGCAGTTAACTAGATTGGGTTTTGTTTAATTTCTGTCCGAACTTATTGCATCATTCGGACCTGAATGAACTACTTCATATGTTTTATTCTATTTTTAATAAGCAATATATTTCATGTTACAAATAAGTTCATTTAATCTGAGTAAACTGAAGACATTGATCTTCATCAGCGCAATTAGGGAAAAAGGGAAAGAGAATTTTAGATTGATCAGGGAAGAGAGTGACTCGATTTATTTTATTTTTAGAATATTACCAATAGGGTGTAACAATTTAATAAGATTTGGACTTGTAAACTAGTAACAGTTAAATGAATCCCATTATCAGTGAAAATCTCATAGTAATTGATAAATATCTCAACTATGATAAATGCCAACAATACTCTCTGTGACACTATTTTGAGCCATATTTTCATATTAATTCCTTTCTAAATAATTTTAAAGGATACTCTCACTAGAGACATAGTGCATAAAAAAAAATTGAGATATAAAACAATATTTATTTATTAATAAATTTATTTTTTAAATATCTATTATCTTTATAGAATTTTGAAAAGTTTAAGTTAGTTATCCTTATAACTATATAAATAAGAAAATAATTTAAAAATAACTTTTTTATATAATTATAATATATAAAAGTTATATAAAAATGTGATAAAAAAAATTCGCTGTATATAAATAACTATCAAAATTATAAATATTATAAAGATATTTAATTTATCTAATTTTATTAATTTAAAATTAGTTAGAGTGTTGGGAGACATTAGCTTATTGGCTAATGCTTTGCTGGGTCCAGTGACTCTAGTCATGTCGAGCTAACCCAATGTGGCTGACCAGACCAGCCCACGAAACACTCCGCCATGAAGTTGTCACTCGGCAGTAGTGATTCTATTGTCTTGGTCCTCGTCTCTTTTTCGTAAGACTAAGACCCCTGGATTTTTGGCTTTCGCGTCGCAATTATTCCCGGAAATGAAATATGAACTCCATTATTCGATTTCTGGAAGAATTGCAGCTTCACAATTGGGAGATAAAAAATGGGTCACATCGCATTCGTACTCCTCTTCTACCACCACTAAGCAAAGGACCAAATACGTTCGGGTCAAAGTCTACACCGTCCAAGCCGCCGCCTAAGCCACTGCCACAGCCACCGACTCCGTTTTGGTACCCACTACTCATTTTCTTGTTTCTTTTCATTTTCGTTTGAAAGAGTGGATCTTGGGTGTGCATACTTGTTTTATATCTCGGAATGCACGCCATATTGCAAAACGGGGACTATAAGATGGGGGAGGACCGCCTCTACATTCAGGGGCTCGCCCAATCTCATGATTATTTTTAGTTTATTGAATCTTCCACATACTCCTATACTGTTTTCTTGAACCGTTATATTTTGTTTTGTTTATTGTCTGTGTCTTATTTCTTGCCAAGTTATGTATGAATCTATATCAGAATGCCAATAATATTTAAGGTGATTTGGCTCGTGTGACTGCTTTCCATCTTAAAGAAAATGATCTTGTATGCATAGATGGTCAAGAGACTTCAGATCCACCTCCTCTTGATGCAACTCATAGTAGCCAGTGTCTAGGTAAGTTGCCAGACATATGGCAGCTTAGATTGATTAATATTTGAATGATTGAGTCCTAGTGAACCTATATCTTTCTTAACATCAATACTCAAAACTCAGAAAATTGGAGCTTCCTTGATTTGATTATATGGTAGTCTTTTGAATTTTTATTTTTATTTTTTTGGGGGTATGTAGAGACTAGGATTGAATCCTTAGACCTGTGGTTCATAGTACAAGTAACTCTACCACCAAATTACATGGCTGATGGTGTTGTCTTTTGAAGCTTGTCTTACATGGTTCTATTCTTAAAGATGGCCTATAATTTGTGTAGGAAGAGATGTTAGATATAAGTTTTTCTTTAGAACAAATCTCTTTGCCTCTCAGTGTCTTTTTGTTCATTGTTAGTTTATATAAACTGATCTTTTTGACTTATAATGTTGGATTAGTCTTATATCCAGATTTGGTAATGATAGGTTTTAGTGAGTAGTGTCAATTTTGTTGAGGATTCTTTGGGAAGTAAGAAAAGCTCTGAATCCCAGCAACCAGGAGGGAGCTTTAATAATTCTGGTTAACTCTCTTCTGGGTTTTTTTATTAATGTTTTAAGTATGTCGTATGTTAAGGATTCTTACTTTTACTTTTTTTTGTGGTATATCTGATTATGGGCTATACAAGATTATGGGCTATACAAAAAGGGATAGCCTCCCCTATTCCTAAATACCTTCTCACTCGACTCAAGGATTGAACTTAAGATTTCTAACTTGGAGTCTCAAGTTTTTAACCATTGAGTCATCTCATTGAGGCCATTCTTACTTTTACTTGTCCATTTAGAAACTTAACAAATAAAAGGCTAAAATTTTGCTATATTTTTGTTGTGAAAAGTGACCAATTAGTAAGTAGTAACTGCATTATATAGTTACTATAGATCAGTTGAATTTTTAATAACCAATCTAACTCTTTCGGCTAGCACAGAAAGTGGTGGGGACGGTGCATCAATTCCTTGGAGACAACTTCTTGATCATCTAGAAGAGTGGCATAATTATCGTGAACATAAACTGAGTGGTTCTGTAATGATTTCCCCATATTGAATATTTCTGTGTTTGAAGGCCAAAAAAAAAAGGGGAAATTTCTTTTATATTTGATTGTTATTAATTGGAAACTGTTTATGTCTTATTATATCTACAGGTAAGGCCTAACCATCCTGGTTTTAAATGCAAGGATGGTGGTCTTGGTCTTGCACCTTGGCTTGACAGTGCCCCGCAGTAGGTTTTATCAGGACTTGAGTAGAATTTGATGTTCCCATTCAAAAAACAAAAGGATCAAAAGGCAGAGGTGTGACCTTTGCTTAACTCTTGTGGATTTGTTTTACGGTAATGGCTGTGTCTTTTTACCTTGTTTTGCATCTTACTATATGATTACAATTCAATTCTGCCCTAATTCTTAATTCTTTTGAGAATCCTATTCCTTAATTCTTTTGATAACTGAATATTTTCCTGTCCTCCAACTAAAACTTGGGGGGGCGGGGGGGAGAGGAGACAAGAAAAAAATGACATGAAAGACTATATTGGAGCATTATTTTGTTTTATCATTATTTCGGATATTTGATATGGTTTGCTTAATTATATGTGCATCATTCAATCCATTTAGGGAACGAACCCTGGAAGAATTAGGTGGAGAATCCAGATAAGTGGTGGGGACAGGACAATAGATTGGATAAGGTACAATCTCAGATACTGTCCTTCATTAGACATTTCTTGTATTCGGACTATAACTTTTGACCATTCTCCAGTTTTATGCTTCTTGACTTTCATCTCCAGAAGAATCAAGACTTAAGCACAAAGAAACCAGCAAAGCTCTATGGGTCGCTGATTCTCCAGCTTGGGTGCAATCAAAGTTGCCTTCTTTAAAAGGTAGAAAAGGAACAGCTACTGGTAAGGTGGAAACACTGCTTTCTTAGCTGTGGAAGGGCTGGACTTGATTTGATGAAAGTAATTGAGATTGGTAATACATTGTTATCTTCAATACACCTGTCTTGAGTTCAGTAAGCATTGCTGGTTTGAGGCAACATGTATGATTATGTGATGGTATTGCTTCAATCCCTTTAGGTTATTGTGATGATGTTATCACCCTCATTTCAACGTGAAGCCTTTTTTGCAAGTACCGTCACCAGATTTGTATTTACTGAAATTTAAAATGCTCAACCAAGACAGAAAGTGCATGATAAGACTCTATGACCTGTATATACAAATATACATCTTTTCCTCATGTAGCTTTTTATATATAAAATGTTAATCATTCTTCTAATCATGGAAATTCAAGCAGTTTCTGTTTCTTCCATGTCCTCTATATTTGATTTGATACATGATATGGAGTTCAGTAGCATCAAATTCTGTAGGAAGTTTTACAACTCAAATGGATAGGAATCTGACCTGTTCGAACATTACATCACATTTTTTTTTCACCGATATTGTATATAAAGAAAAATGAAAATCAATACTTTTTCTAACATTAAAAATGTCAATACATCTAATTACAGCTATTAGATATGTGGGATGTGGTTTAAGTTTTAACTTTATTAAATTTATCATGTTACTATTATTAGATGTCTTGATATTTTTTAATATCAGGATCTATCAGGATCTATTGATTATCTTTTTTCCCTTGCATGTATTTGATTTTTGACCTGTATCACAGCCGGGGACGGGCCAGGGGGTGCAAGGAGGCGCTCGCCTCCCTAGATTTTTGAAAAAAAATTAAATAGGTCCTATACTTTTAAAAGAATCAAATAAACCCTTTTTGAAAAAAATAAAATGGTGTATTTTAACTTTTATTCTTTTATAAATCTTATAATAAATTATTAACCACTTTATAAGTAAAATAAATTTAATAAAATAACTTTATTTATTTGACATGCTTGTCATTGCAATAGAATGATTATATGTCTCAAGTAATAAAATAAAATTGACTTAAAATTAGTATTATCAATTATTTAAAATATTTAATTTTCTTATTTAAATCATATTAAGTAATATTTTGTGATAAAAGTTATATTTCGGATTAAAATTTAAATATACATAAATTTTAACAAGTTTTTTTACATCCAAAATCTTTAAATTTTTAATGTTTGTATATTTATGTCTTAATCTTATTTATAAATTATAAATAAAGAAATTCAATTTTAACATACACATTTCAAATAAAACTTTGCCCCCCTTAAGATTATTTTCGGGCTCTATCCCTGATCACAGCGTCTCTAGTCTGCAGTTAATTTGCCATCACATGTGCTTCTGGGGTCAATGTTCAATCCCTTGAACACCAATTCAATGAACCTGCTAGAGAACTAAGAAGGAAATTACATCTCATCCCAGAACAGTCAAAGTCATATACCATTTCCTAGAAGCAATTTTTTTTTTTTTTAAAAAAAAGGAGAGATAAGAACAAGAAATTAGGGTTTTAAAATTCAAACATTGAGAGATTATGAGTTGATAGCTGGCAAGTTAAAGAATTAACCCTTCATTTATATAAATGCATTATATAAGAAGGAAGAAGGTTCGATGAATCTTATTTAGATTGACGTGAAAGTTTGGTGCATTATAGTGATATTGATATTTGTAAATTAACATACCCAATTAAATAAAAAGTAGAGACTTCAAAAATCTTTATAGACTCAACATAATGTGTCAGCATCAAAGTCCACCATGGTTTTCACAAATCAAAATGACACCTTGCATAAGAGGCTAAGGATTTGATTGGCTAGGAAACCCACAACATGGACAAGAGATATCATTGCACAAGTATGAGAGAGGGATAGAGTAGAATTTTTTTTTAACCCTCTTCCTCTAGAGGAAGGTAATAGTATGTCTAGAAATCTTAATGAAGATCATGAAGGTTTCTAATCTGCATTGTTTTGCAATAAATATATATAATCGTGTCATAGTCATAAATTAATTGAAATTAGCTTAAACAAACTGTAAAGGTCATTGGAAATAAACCATGTAAGTATATGATGTCAATGTAAATATATGATGTAAGGGATCTTACATAATTGAGACAGTAAGCATGTTGGAGAGTAGTAGTAGATTAAGGAACAGGTAAAAAAATTAATCATCGAATTAATTAATTTGTGCTTGATTGATGGATGGATGAACCTGAACTGAACTAGGAATTGTTTGAATTTGAATCTGTACAGGTCTGAACATGGATTAGTTTAATATTCTCTTTTTTTTTTTTTGTATCAATTTTCTGACCAAAGGAGGCGACGACCATTATCGTATTAAAGCCTTCAAGATAACTTTTTTTGAATCGAAATTGTCTCTCCTTTGACATAAGCGCCGGGGATTAACTTCCTGGAAGGATCAAATCCTTTGGCAACAAGGCACTTCCTCTCTCTCATCTTTAGAGTCTTCCATAGCATAAGACGGGAAAAGACTTAGTGTAACAGGATATAATATCTCTGATAATAAAAAAACTGACAGTTTGGTATAAAATCCATGATGCGGTATAAGAAACTTGTAATATGATACATAAAAACCTCTAGTATTTATAAGAAACCTCTATGTATCAACTAATACTAAAGATATTTTATTGTGGTTTGATCACTTGCTAATCACAAAGTTCTCTTCCAATAACATAGAATCACCATGACTATTGTTTACAAGTGTATTAAAATTTTATTAACTTGTTATATCAAATTAGATATAACAGTGATATCCTAGACCAAATGTTATCTTTTAAGGTAAAATTGACATGTCTTACTTTGACCAAAAGCTGAAGTCATAAGTATCCTAGTACTATTTAAACCATGGAGCTGAGATTACTTGGTCATCATCCAAAGAAAACACTATTAGAGAGAAGAGGAGAGAACTCAAGAGGCTTAATGTCTGGCTCACTTTATCAACAAACCACTGATCAAGGCTCTTCCTCTTTTGGAGTCTCTGAAGTCTCCACCAGTTTCACCTCCAGAAGCAGCAGCTCGAGCAGTTTGGCCCCTAATGCTTGCATATCGAAACAGGCAATGAAGAAACGGGAGAGAGCCTCTAAAAAGACTACAACGATCCACCTCACTGCCAATCCCACCAATTTCCGGAAGCTGGTACAGCAATTCACAGGTTGCAGCAAAACTTCCATTTCATTTGAAGCAGCAAAAGGTCCAATCAACATAAATTTTGCATTTGGAATGAAGCAGCAGATGGATTTTCCTGAACATGATGAATATGCTTCCATAGTCCAACCTCAGCAAAACCAGAGAGCGGAACAGGATCATCATCATCAACAACAACAACAGTACCAGCTATCCAACCAGGAGGAAGAAGAATTCTGGGACTTGTCTTTCTTGGACAACATTAATATTAATGATCTCAGTAGTGATTTTGTTTCAACGTCCTGTTTCCCGGGATCCAATGTTCCTGATATGTCACAAGAGATTGTCATGGAGGATATGTATTTCCTTGCATAAGCAAATGAAGATCAAGAACCTTGGTAGATAATTAAGCTACTGAATAAGAGGCATACATCCAGGGCAGGAATTCATCAAAAGTTCTGTTTCTTTATTTATTTTTTTTTTTGGTGTACGGTGTCATTGATTATGTAATGGGTGATCATATGTTTTTTTGTACTTAATTAATGGAGTTTTATAGAGAAAACAAATATTTATAATGTTCGAATACTTTCCTTTTCCTGTAGAGTGGCTTAGTTAATTGAAATTTTCATAGAAGACAAGAGGATTGTGGTTATTGTCACACATATAAATGTTAAGGTTACACAGATATATTTTATAAGTGTTTGAATTGATTAATTTCATTTGATTAGGGCTTCTTTTTATTTTTTTGTATTTATGGCCACGAGTGATTTTAAGAATACACTCTCATATTTGCTAAGTACATGTAAGGAAATTAATTATTGGGTGTTGACCATAACATTTGAACCTTAAAATTAAATGTGTTGTATAAGTGTTTAAAAACATCAGTATATAAACTAATTTAAAACTGTTAAGTACTAAATATTAATTATTTTATCAATTATTAGATAAATAAATATAATTATTACTTATTTTTAATAGTTAAACTAAATACAATTATAGTAATTGTGTTAGCCTTAATATTTACATGTGGGAGTAACCGTGCCCAGTAAAGAGAAGGATGAGAGTTTGAAACTTAACCATTTCGGTAAAAAAACACATTTTTGCCAATAACTTGGCTAGTATACAGCCATTGTAATTTAAATATAAGTAATAATAGGGAATACGAAAATTTGAAATGAAAATTTATGGTTAATAATATAAAATAAATTATATTTTAAAATAATTAATACATATTATATTACGAGTATAAAAAAAACAAAAAAGAGCCACATCTTAATCTCATTCATCGTATTCTTTAAGTATAGGCCAGCATATTTTTTTTCCTTCACTTTCCAATCGAAGTAATCCAGGGGTTTGGCTTATTTTGACCATAGATGGTCAACCAGACAAATGCCTGGTTGGTGAGGGTTCTATTTCCGGGTCAATATTTAATTCACTCATTATGTCATTGTAATTGCATCAAACCAGAAGTCTCTCTTTAGTCTGCATATTCACTCCGAATGAACTTGTAAAGCCCTAAGATGAGTCCTCAAGGTAGACACTCCGATACTTAAGTCAAAAATAATTGGATCTACCTTTAGAATAGTGGAAAAAGAAACTTTATGTCGGTTTTAATTATCTTTTTGAGATGACCCTGAAAGTATTTATAGGTCTTAATGGGATATCCACGTAGTTTGTTTAACAAGATAATCGGAGTATAATGTGTCCATTCAAGCGATAATTTCGAGATTGAAAAATTATGTGTGATAAATCAGGTGTGGGTATATTCACTGTATTTATCATGCAGCCATTTGATCGAGAAGTGCTGGATTTAACTTCACTTCGTTATTAAGAAATTGTATTTATCATATGACCTTGGACCTATCCTTGCAGTCATGTAAGATGCATGATAGTTATAGATTGACATTGAAGAAAACTAATATATTGTGATAATTAAAATGTTATAATTAATAATAAAAAAATTAAAATATTTTTAATAAATTAATATATAAAAAAATTTATTGAAAGTATTTAAATAATTTTATAAATAATTTTATATTTAAAGTGTTAGTACATCTTAATTTTTAATTTTTAATTTTTAAAAAAATTTTCCTAACGCTTCAAATCACAAAATATATATATTTACCAAGTAATTTTGAGATTTTTTCTTTAGTATAGGTATGACAATGGCACTACGAGAAAGGTCCTCTGTCCCATCCCCATCAATGGTGGAGTGGGGATCCTCAAAGGAAATCTAGGCGGGGGCAAACTTGTATTGTATCTCCATTCTCCGTCAAAAATTAGATAGTATTAGCTAACAAAATGAAAAAAAAGAAAAACAATTAGCCATTTATTTATTTTTCAATTTTTATCTACTTTAACTACTTCTTCTTATTAATTTAAAAACAAATGTTTAATAAGTTGAGTTCAATTTTTTTAGAATTAGGTTTTAAAAGTTATTAGTTTTGATGAGACCTTGTGTACGCAGCAGCCCTTGTTGGAAGACTCACCCACTATTTTCAGGTGCGCGACGCGGGTCAAGTCTGAATTAGTCAGGGTAAAGCCCTGGATACCGGACGAGAAACAAAAAAAAAAAAAAGTTATTAGTTTTGATTACAAATTAGCAATGCTTATAGACTCATGGATGAAGTATTTGGGTTTAATAGTATATTTTATTTTTTAAGAATTTTCACTGGAGATGGGCTCCTCCTGGGACAAGTCACTGTGAGAAGAATTCTCTACAAAATTTTATGAGAAGGTGCTCCTGTCCTTGCCCCACAAAAATAAATATTTCTCCTTGTTTCATCCCCAAGTTAGCAATCCGCATAGAAATGGAAGAAATTGCAATCTCTACTTCAATGGGAATAAATTTTGTAGATTAAGTGTATATTTTTTAAGCCCCATGATGGAAAGAGCATATTCTTCTGATAGGTTTTTTTAACTTAGGTTAGAAGACAAGTTAAGGATTTTTTTTTTTTGACAATAATTATTATTAAAAAATAAAATTTGATTTTTATTTATTTAATTGTTTAATTAAAATAATTCATGTGATATAAAAAATGAAAAAAATTAATCTTAATTTTTTTCATTTTTTATATCAATTAATGTCAAAAAATATATTAATTATATTTTTAACCTAACCATAATTTAGAAAAACTCTTTTATAATATAGGAGTTAAGTGCATATTTCCAAACTAAGACTTAAGTGCTCATTTTTATTTTTTTGAGAGTTAGGGCATCTACCTCAAACCACATGGGGGGTAAGTGCAATTTCCCTTAAAAACATACTGCTTGACATTTATTTTTCCACAAAACTCAGTGGTTCTCCGGTGCCAAAGCTTAAATACGGTTATCCTCAAAAACATAAAATTGTTCCTTCCCAAGTTCTCTGTAACAGCTACCATGTGGGCAGCAACCGTCTCCTTTCCCTCGCCACTCTTTGCAAATTCTCCGACGAATTACAGAAACCACAGAAGCTTGAAGCTGAGAGCATCTGTCTATAATTATCCTCTGGCGAGCAAAATCATGGTTAAAAGTAAAGTCTGTGTCCTTTCTCCATCTTTCTGCTTTTTTTTTTTCCTTTTTCCTTCACAATTTGATATATTCTTATCTGGGTTTTCTAGAATCCTCTCAATTCTTCTTCTTTTTTCGTTTAATTTTATTAACGTTTGAATTTTGAAACTTCCCTTATTATGGGTTGAGATTTTTTAAACCTAACATGCCTGTTAAGTAGTGGACAGATAGATAGTGGTTCATTCTTGTAATACAATCTATTCACTAGGATTCTGGCGGCTGCCTGAAAGTTCTAGCAATTAATTTGTATGCTCGAAGCTACAACAGTTTTTATGGTGATAGAATTTGTTATTCTGAAAAATGCTGAATTTTTTTGTGAGATTTATTGACCAATACTTTTTCTACGAGTCTGTTGGAAAAGAGCATTCTAGGGATTCAGAGTGATTTGTTTCGAAAATAAGTTAGTATTGCAATGCAGTGGTGTAGATTTCTTATTGGTCAGATTACTTTGAAACTTGTTGAAACGCAGGAGACATGAAATTATCTGCTGTGGTTCTTAGTTGAGATTTATGAAAATCCCACTTGATTAGGTTCTTCCAAATTATTAAAATTTTGTTCTTTGTTCATGCCAGAATTAGAAGATAAGATTTTTCTACTCATAAGTGCAGTTAATTTGCAAATGAAAAATGATTGGCAATGACTTTGTGGGTAGTGTTAGTAATTTCTAATGTCATCTACCATGAAAAGTGCAAACATTGTGCAAGCTGGGACCCTGAATAAATGTGTTACCTAGACCGTGCCATGTATTTAGGAAATTTATATGTAGTCTTCCTTTTTCTTGTGTAATGTGTGAATAGACACACTGGTAGCTTAATTAACAGAAAATATGATTGTTGCTTAACTGCAGATTTGCCATATTCTACTCAGGAAAGTAGTTTGCAGAAGGAATTTTCAAAGTTTGGCCAAGTAGCTGAAGGTAATTTTCATTTCTCTCCTCATCAATCTTTTTTAATAATTACATCTGCAAAGATTTTCATGCTTCAAAGTTTTTGACTTCATGTCAATTTATGACAGTTAAGCTTGTCAAGGATGAATTTACAAAAAGATCCAAAGGATATGCATTCATTCAATATACATCTCAAGATGATGCAATTCTTGCCCTAGAGAATATGGATCAAAAGGTTAATTTTGTATTTGCCTTTTTTTAAAAAAAAAAAAAAAATCATGAATGCATACTTACTTTCAATATACTTCAAACATGGAGACTCACGCCATTTACATTTATCAGATATTTGATGGCAGATTGATCTATGTTGAAATTGCAAAACTTGGGAAGGAAAGATTCCGAGTAGATCCAAAAACCTCAGGACCCCCAAAGAAACAATCCCAGCAAGAACCAGATATGGTGGCAGATTGCTGGTACTAATGGAATCCCTTCTGACTACAACCAATAGCATATAGGGAAAATGGAAAAAGAGGGGAAATGATGGCATTATGTACCATAGCAAGTTCAACTAGAATTATCTAGTTGAAAAATTCAGCAGATATATGTATGATCTTTACATCATAGTTTACAGTTTCTTAATTTGCTTGATGCCATACCTCAGGATTTTTTTGTAGCTGGGTTTCCTTCAAACATCTTATTTAAAGATGGTATAGCATTTGCAATGTAATTTGATGGCTATTCAATATATTGTAAAGAGTTTTCTTCATCCATGAGAGAGAAATAGCAATCTTGTTATGGTTTTCAAGCTAATTACATGCAGGTGACTGTCTCTACCGCAGGTGTGGGATTAAAATGAAGGTAAAACCTTTATATTTCAAGTCAAACTGAATGCAGATCTGCATACTTGTTTCACTGCATCCTTTACTGTTGATTAATCATTGAACGAGATTGCACTACTAGATGATAAAGTAAGAATAGATGTTCTTGGTTCTGTTGTCTTGCACGCTTTGCTTGAGCTATTAAGTCCTCAACTGCATCGTTCTAGTTGGATAAAGGAAGAAACATGCGGGACACGATTCATGTGTCATCCCACAAATGTTTCTCATGACATCTCTGAAGTGATGGCTTCATTTCAGATGATGTTTTCTTTCAAATCATCAAGTGGATGCAGCAAATTTGTTGGTGAAGGTGGTTTCTGGACCTACCAGCCTAATAGCATGTCCAATATCAGTAAGACTAAATATTTCTCTTCTCTAAGATAGCATTATATAAATTTATATCTTCTCTTGTTTGTCTTTTACTCTTTTGTGCCCATACTGCATGCAGAATTCTTTTGATTTATGTCCTTTGATGAATAGTGGAGGTAGGTTTCATCATGCCCTATGCTGCTTCAATTTGTAGCACCATCCAACTTTGCCAGATCCATAACCTAGAAGGAATTCTTCAATGGCAAAAGGGCATGCAGGAGTCAATTGAAATGCTTATTATTATGATTTTTGTTAACTTATATGGAAGTTATTAGAAATAATATGTTACTCTTTGTGACTTTGCTACAAGGGTGCTCAAAATTCTTTCTATTATCCACATATACAAAAACATGGATGGCACTTGCATTGTTATCCTATTGATTATGCAGAAGCTTTAGTAGTGCAACATACAGCAACAATTTGATCGAGGGGACAGAATCACTGGGCTTGAGGCAAGTAGGGCAGCAAGGGTGAGAGACCTGCCATTTAGCTTCATGAGGCTGTAACAATTTGATCGAGGGAAGGGACTGAATCACCGGACTTGAGCTTGTATCTGCAAGTAGGGCAGGAAGAGTGAGAGAGCAGCCATTTATCGATGCAAGCAACATGGAACTGATGGTTGCATTTGGGCAGCATCCGGATTTTGTCACCGTTCAAGAAATCTGCAAGGCAAATGGCACAACCAGGGGATGAAGATGGTGAACTTGAATTAGTATAAGTTGAAGTAGGTAAAGCCACCATTTCTGCCTTTCTGAGGCCAGAGTTGAGCCTACGTGAGACCATCCAATCCCTTGGCTCAGTTAATACACGTTGAGTGCATTGAACTACACAATGCAACATGGAATTGAGGCCAAGGGCACACACCAAGGCACATATCATGGCTGCCACAATCACCATGAGATTGATGTCCATTCCTAGTCCCTGTAAGCCATGACAAGGGTTGCTTGAGAAGGCAGCATCAGAGGGAGATGGCGAAGTTTCAGCCATATTAGACAAGGAGAAAGGAAGTGAGATGTACACAGCAATTATAGAATAGAAAAATGAGGCCATAGAGGGCTTATGATGGGGGACATGGTTCCATTTTAGGATATGCCTATGCTTACTCGATAGTCCACTGTCTCTTTCTTTTGTTTATGCGCTTCAAAGCGAGGGAAAAGCAACACCTACTCCCCACGAATCTTTCGAATTTCTATTGGCTGGTTTCATCTATCTATACTCTCTCTATTTTAAAATATAAGTTGTCTGATTTTTTCGCTTATAATTTTAAGTAATATTTTTTTATAATATATAAATGATAATTAAAATTTTTTTATATATAATTTTTGTTAATTAGTTTTATTTGATAAAAAATTTTTAATTATTATTCTTATACTATAAAAAAGCATGATCTAAAATTAAATGTAAAAAAATCAAACAATTTATATTTTGAAATGGAAAAAGTAGAAGACTAATATTTTCGTGAAAAGTTGAAACACTTCCCTTCCCTAGACCATTTTTCTCAACAAGTGTGCAAGCAAGTTTAACCTACGCATTATTGAGTCCCAACTCCACTATTGAAGATAATCTAGATGTTATGGTAAAATAAAAGTTTTTTAAGAAGACATATCAAAAACAATTATGATGGTACATCTGAATGGTATATTGCGGATTCTGGGGCATCTTGAACTCCAATTATGCAACAGAAACTCTGTATATTTATAATCTGACTCAAGTTTTTCTTTTCTTTTCTTTTCTTTTCTGTTTTTTTGCTAAAATTGTCTGTAATTTTTCTTCTCAGAGAAACAAAGGTAGGATCAATGTAATAATGAAGAAAAAAAGAACAATCTGAGCCAAAGAAAACGTTGTCATGTTTTTGAGGTCTTACTCAAAAGCAGAGACTAGGGCCATGTTTGGTAGGAGGGAATGAAATGACTATTATTGCTTCTTTTCCATTTCCATGTTTGGTGAAACTATGTTTTAGAGAGAAATTAACATTCCCTACTAAAAGGTGGAATGACGATTGCATTCCTTTTTAATATGTTTTTTGTGGTATCTTTTTCTTATAATATGTTTAGTTTGAGAGAAATGAAGGAGAGAGGAAAGGTAGAGAAAGATAAAATTTTAACTAATTAAATTATAATATTTTCAAATATTACAGTTTAATTGATAAAAAATTTCATTTTTCCCTTCCCATTCTCTCCGTTTCCCTAAACCAAATACTCCCTACATATTATTTAGTCTTTAAATTTAGAATGCCATTATGAAAGCCTAATAACCTTAAAATACCTTCAATCTCAAATCATTACCTATCTATGTCCAACACATTAATTGGAAATGAACATTCGATCGCATTTTCTCATGGAAATGATTACACCTTGATTCCATTTCCACCTCAGTTCCCCAAACCAAACGAAACCGTACTCCAAAGCAACGTTCCAAATATTAGAAGCTTGACTAAAGCCATGATCAAACTACTTTAATTGACTCCATAAAGAATGAATAATATAAATTGATGACATTATTTTATAGTTGATTTATGATTTCATTGGAAACCACTTTTCTCTCCAATCATGTTTTACAGATCTACAACTATAGAAACCACCCCATTCACTTTCACGGAACTCTTTACAACAACCATATTACTGGACATACTTGTTACAGCATGAACAGTGAATGCTGAAGTCTGTCCACCTTTAAGGTAAAATGAATAGTGAAGATTAACAATCCTGTTTGGGAAAACAAATATCAATGAAAAATTGGCCACCCATTTGGTCCCAGTTCCAGGCACTGTCAATCTTCCTACTGTCGATTTCAAGCTCATACCATTGACATTGTTACGGTCTATCACCACCTGATCAATGTTCCAAAACTCCCCATCTAGAATTACAGTAAGAATCTCATTATGTGGATTACCATTGAACATGTTGTCCACTATATTAAGGCCAGAAACTGTGCAATGGACCGATTTAATCACTACATTTGCATCTCCTAAGAAGAATCCATTAGTGACATGGACTTGAACAGGGTCTTCCATAACTATTGATATGTAATCTAGGTAGCAATTATCCATCCTGCTAAGTGAGGAAGCACCAGGGTTTGATTTTACCAGAACTCCTATGCCACCCCAAAATGTAGCCTTGTTGTAACAATGTACCCCG